CATGTTTGACCATTTATCTTATTAAAAAAAATTACGTAATTATAATTTATTTTGTTATAGGTTGTTTTATCACTCATAGTACTTTAAGTGTGATTTATATCTTATACATTTGCATAAAATTTTTAAATAAAACGAATGGTCCAACATGTGAGAAAAAGTCAACGGCATCATCTAAATTGGAAGACCTGCTGTATCTACTAGTTTTTTTTTCAAGCATTATAACCGGATTCGCTGACAAATTTGAGAGACCTAAAGTGAACTTATTATGCTCTAAAAATTATAGACAGCCCAAGTAATCTCCAAAACCAACACGGACAGCCCAATTTGGGTCGTTGTTAGTACCTGCGATCGAGTTCGCCGGAACGTCGTCCCAATCGGCCAGTCCCCGTCCCGCACCGTATTTGTGCGGTTTTAGTTGCGAGCGGGGCGGTGGTTTGGTGGAATGGTGGTACGCGAAACGAAAGCGACGGCCGCTCGCTTGCGTTATCTTTGCTTGCCAACCCGGTGATTGACGGGCACGTAGCTAGCTAGGCCGGGTCCCTCTCTCCTACAGCTCGAATTCTTGCATGATCAGATCTGTAGTATCTTTTTTTTTCCCTACGTAATTAGCTAAGCTATATACTCCCTCCGTCCCAAAATGTTTGACGCCGTTGACTTTTTTAATCATATTTAACCGTTCGTCTTATTCAAAAAATTTAAGTAATTATTAATTCTTTTTCTATCATTTGATTCATTGTTAAATATGCTTTTATGTATACATATAGTTTTACATATTTCATAAAAGATTTTGAAAAATACGAATGGTCAAACATATTTAAAATAGTCAACGGCGTCAAACATTTTGGGACGGAGGGAGTATATATCTCGTACGTAATTCACTGCCAATGCGCGCGGCTTCAATGAACTCGAGTATTTCCTTTTAATTTTATGGGACTGTTTATATATCTGTTGACAGAAAATCCTACCTCCCATCTTTCAAATTTTGGACCGTTGGATATGCTTTAGGATTCGTGCACAGCTTTAACCCTAACTTTTTTCTCCCATTCCCCACCTCTTCGCGCATTTTGCCGCCGCTGCTACCCTCGCGCGTCGCCACCGCCCGATCCCCGCCGCCACCGCCCCACCGCGCCGCCACCCGCCTCGCCGGCTAGCCGGAAGGCGTCAACGGCGCCGACGAGGCCCCCCGACCAGCCTCCTCCCCCCTCCTTCCTCCTCGAGCCGTCGGCGGCGAGATGCCCCCGCCACCACGCCGGTCCACCGCCGTCCTCTAGCCTTGCAGCTCCGGCGCCGCCACCGGCGCCTCGCCGCCACCGGCGCCTCGCCGCCCACCCGATCCACCCACCACCGAGCTGTCGTCTCCCCCGACCATCCCTCTAAGCCCAGCGAACTCCCCCTTCTTCCCCCTCCCCCTCCCACCCTTCCCAGTTCCCACCCCACCCCACCCCAGGACCCTAATTCGTCGGCTCTTCGCCGGAGTTTGGGTCATCGCTGGCGCCGGAGAAGAATAGGAGTTTGTCGGAGTTGGAGAATAAGCAACTGGAGCACGAATCGCGAAGCACATCCAGTGAACCAAAATTTACAAGATTTGGAGGTAGGTTTTCTGTCGATTGAAGCTTAGCAATTCCGTAATTTTATCTCGCATATGCTCCATTATTGCCGCTTAAAACTGATGTGAAAAAAATTAGCAAACACTTTAGTTTTGCCTCACTACATAAAATCTTCCATAAATGCCCGTGCGTGTGACATGTAAATCGCCTTAAGCAAGATTCTGTCCCAATAATCTTTCGAAAGAGAACGGTTTGCTAGCTTTAGATCGCTGTCTAACGGTAGCTATCAGATCAAATTCAGGTCCGGCGCGGGCGACGACACTGCAGGTTTACGTTGACGCGCCGCGAAAATGCGTAGGAACCCGGCGGCCCGGTCGGTCGCTTAAAGCCTAAAGGCGCCGGCCGGCCACGAACTCTCTCTCTCGCGCCTTTATTCCCTCCTTCCCTTTTGCACGGCGGACCATCAGCTGAGAGAGCCCTACACACACTGCTACCAACCCCTTCAGATAACCTCCCCCTTCAGCCAATCCGGCGTCCGGGCGGCCCACACGCATCGTGATCGCACAAACAAAATCCATGTTTTCTCGCACTGTGCGGCAACAGCGGAAGATCGATATAATACCATTCACTCCTCCACACCAAATATTCCCCCTGCAGCTAGCTAGCTTTCAGTCTTTCAGTCTCTTTTTCAGGTACTGTATATCTACCAGCACACAGCTGATGCACACATCCAGCTGAGCTGGCCGTACATCATCTCCTGCAAAAGCTCTGGAAAAAGAAGGATAGACGATCGTGGAAGCTGAAATTGCTTTCCGGCATTTGCAGCTTAGCTCATGGTGGAAGCTCGATTGCCGGGCGGGGGAGCAAGCTCGCTAGCTAGGCGGTGAAATGCTGCTGCAGCAGCAGCATGCATGGCTAGCTAGCCCACTGGGCCTGCCTGAAACCATGGCTGCCGGCCAATCGAGATCTCGTTCCCGCGCGCCCTTGCATGGCGTGTGCAACCACTGTGGCGATAGGGGCCATGGCTAGCTAGCTGGTTAGCTGCAAGATCAAACGTACTACGCCACGGGTGACCCACGCGCGCGTGTTCGTCCGTGCGTGGGTGCAGCTTGCGCGTACGCGCGCGCGCCGAGACTGACAGACCGACCACGCCGCGGGTGGCCCGGCCGGCCGAACAGCAAGCACTGTCCTTGTCGCCGCGCTGTCCGAACGTACAGCCGGCCGGTGAGAGGGTTAGCTAGATGGAGGGAGGCATTGGTTTCGGTTTCAGTACCTGGCTACCTGCGTGTTGCATTGCGTTCGGCAAAAGAGGTGGCTGACTTGACGCGACCTGATCATCAGTCGGGCTGGAAATTTAATTTGGGTTCTTATATACCGATGCATTTTTGTTGCTAGCTAGCTAGCCGAACTGTTTGGGTACATTTGATATTTTGATTTGTTTACTATCGCGGCCTTAGTGTATTGTTTTCAACAGGTTGACTATGCCGTCGTACGTGCATATCGGCATGTTCTCCTTAATTTTGCCCCGTTGTAACAGTACGATCAAGCATCGATCCCAAGTTCCCAATCCAACTCCCCGGCCAATCTGACAAAGTCGCGGTGTGGGGCTAATTAATGCCATGTCATGCATGGAAATATGGAATCTGGATCATTCCAATGTTTTTTTAAAAAAAAGAATATAAAAATATTGAATTCCCAAAATAGTTTTTATGATCTCCTTTATGCTGGAGGAACAGCCATAACAAAGGCTGCAGTTCTAAGAAAGGCAAATTCAATGATTTGTCACTCAAAGAGCTAGGTTTATTGTTCATTTTTAGACGACTAGCTAGCATATTTCTAGTGTGTTGCAACGGATTTTTATTTTGAAAAAAATAACATATTTTTTATGGTGAAAAATAACATTGATTGTTATTAATCCTTTTTTCCATCACTTTCTAAATATATCAAGCTTAATGTTTGCATGTCTTTCAGGTAAGAGGTGGACCCTCTGGTCCAATATTACATTTTTTTCCTTTTAAAAAAGCCCAAAATTTTCCTCCAAAGTTTGTATTTATTATATTTAAGGATCATCGGATGGCTTGAACAGTGAAATAACCGTCGCCTTTGTGATCAGTTGGAGCAGCCTAATTTTTTCTCTTCCTAAAAGAACTTAATTACTTTTTTCTTAGCTTAGCCTAAGCCCAGGACGGTTCGACCCATTTTCCATCCAAAAAATCCATGTGTCTATTCATATAATATCGTTACTAACCGCTAAAAGATCTAGTGGCTGTTTGGATGCTATATAATAACATTGCCACTATTTACCATATTTTTTTTGCCATACTTAGCTAATTAAGTTGTGGCTAATAAAAAGTGAGCCACGCTTTAACTAGAAAAAAAAAGAGTGTGCCATACTTTTTTGAGTTGATGCCATGTGAAACCATGAGAAATGAGAACTAATCTTATCATAATTAAGTGTGGCCAAGAATTAATCAAAATATGAGCTAATAACTTGGTCAAAGTGTGTGGTAACCGGTAACCTTAGCCAATGTTTGGCAATGAACCAAACAGTCGTTTGGTTTTTCTTGAACTCATGGCTATAGACCTCAATCCTTCAATGCTTAGGTTAATATAATAAAATATATGTTAAGGTGCACATATTTATTGCGCTGACAGTAGCGTCATGCTTCGAGTACTCCCAACAAAGTAGAAAAATATTGTATTGGCCATGACAAATTTGAAAGACAAGTGTAAATATAATGGTAGTCATCACTTCACAAAGTTTTTTGAATTAATGTATATTTGATATATGAGTTGAGAAAAAAAAAGAATTCCTTATCGCAGGAAGGATATATATATACAAAAGAACGAGAAAGTTTCCAAATGAATTTGTTGCTCCATATTTTCTTTTCAAATGAAATTTTTTGGACTAGTGGATAGCTATCTGCATACCTTTTCATGTATTGGGGAGCATATTCCCCTGCCGGAACAACTGATGAAATTCCTTCACAACGACATGTGGCTTTGATACCTGAAGAACATTTTATAATACTACCCCAGAAGCACTGGCTGGCTAGCTAGCTATAGTTGGAGTATGTATTACAGTATTAGGGTTTCTGAAGCTTCTTCTTTTTTTTTTGCATCAACTCTTATTAGCTTCATATATTTATCTGAACTTCTGTTCACGCTAGAAAACAAACCAAAAACAGTCACCCCTCACTAGTCACCACCTATCCAGCCATTTCTTGCCATCTCAGTCCCCTCTGTATCTCCACCAGCTGGTTTTTTGCATTCAATTTTTCTGCTGAGCACAATGCTAAACGAGTACAGTCTTAAAGGCTAAGCAAGCTTTAATTACACACACACACACACTCTCTCTCTCTCTCTCTCTCCAAACATTCTTCCCAACCCCACAGAGAGAAAAAAAAACCCCAAGAAATATAAAGCCACCATACGCTTAAAAGGAGAGAAGATAAATTCATGCTTTTCTCCTCCCCTTTCTCTTTCTTAGTTTCTCTCTCTCTCTCTCTCTCCTGTCTTCTCTCCTGCAGCTGCTGGATGTGATTCTCCACCACCTCCTCCTTCCTAGCTAGCTAGCCAGAGTGAGTACTCCACACCACCACCTCCCCTCTCCTCCGTTTAATTTCTTCCCTCCCAGCTAGCTGCTGCAGCCTGCAGCTCTCGCCTTGCTTTCTTCTTCTCTTTCCATACACAAATCCCCAACAAAGAAAAGTGCGAATTTATAAAGAAAAGATCAGAATTCAAAGCAGAAGTAAAGCTAGAGGAGATAGGGGTGGTGAGGGGAGGGGAGGAAATATATCTCACCACTAACTGGCTTCCATGGTGTTCCCTTCAGTGCCTGCCTACCTAGATCCACCTAATTGGAATAACCAGGTACTTTTGCTGCATGATCTTAAATTCTTAATTGCTTCTCCCTCCCTTCTTCTCCATCGAACTCTCTCTTGCTAGTGCTGAATTCACAGCTTGTTCATGGCAAGAGAATTTTTTTGCACCAAGAAGCACTGCAGAGAGATATTCTTGTAGTGTTCTTGAATATTCAGAGTCAATATATTCTCTCCTACCTTTTCTCTCATCTCTGATCTATAACAATATGCTTAATTGCTTACGCTTATGTTTATGTGTGTGTTGCAGCAAGGGCAGCCGCCCAGGCCGGCGAACGTAGGCGGCGGCGATGCACAGCACCTGCCGGTCGGGCCGACCGCAGCTGCGGCGGCGCCGGGCGAGATCGGGGGGCTGCCAACAAGCAGCTCGTCGGCCAGCGCGGCGGCGGCCGCGGCGCAGCAGGCGCGGCCGAACTCAATGGCGGAGCGCGCGCGGCTGGCGCGGGCGCCGCAGCCGGAGCCGGCGCTCAAGTGCCCGCGCTGCGACTCCACCAACACCAAGTTCTGCTACTACAACAACTACTCCCTCTCCCAGCCCCGCCACTTCTGCAAGACCTGCCGCCGCTACTGGACGCGCGGCGGCTCGCTCCGCAACGTCCCCGTCGGCGGCGGGTGCCGCCGGAACAAGCGCTCGGGCAAGTCCTCCTCCGCCGCCGCCGCCGGCGCGTCGTCCTCCTCCTCCAAGCCGTCCTCGTCGGCGGCCAGGCAGCTGCCCGGCGGTGGCGCGTCCCCGATGCCGTCCGCCGCGGCGTCCACGCAGCCAGGAGGCGCCGCCGCCGGCGCGATCATCCCGCCGTCGGGCCTCAGCTCCATGTCTCACCACCTCCCGTTCTTGGGGGCGATGCACCCGCCGGGGCCCAACCTAGGGCTAACCTTCTCCGCCGGATTCCAGCCTCTCGGCGGCATGCACCACCACGTGGACACGGCGGACCAGTTCCCGGTGGCAAGCGGCGGCGGCGCCACCATTGGCGCGTCACTCGAGCAGTGGAGAGTGCAGCAGCAGCAGCAGCAGCAGCCACAACAGCATCAGTTCCCGTTCCTCGGAGGAGCACTCGAGCTTCCGCCGCCGCCGCCGATGTACCAACTGGGACTGGAAGCTACTCGAGCAGCAGGCACCGGAGCAACGGCGGCGGCGGCGTTCACGTTAGGGCAGACCAGTGCTACAGCCACCACGTCAAGGCAGGAAGGTTCAATGAAACTGGAAGATAGCAAAGGGCTGGAGATGAGCCTGCAGAGGCAGTACATGGCGGCTCTACGCCAAGGAGATGGTGTCTGGGGTAACAACAACGGCGGCAATGGCGGCAGCGACGGTGGCGGCAATGGCGGCGGTGGCAGCTGGACAATGAACTTCCCTGGATTCCATTCGTCATCAGGCGGCGGCGGCGATGATGGCGGCGGAGTGTTGTAGTACACTACTTCTAGCTAGGTCACACGATTGATCTGGCTCATCAACAATTCGACAAGAGGTTTTTCTAATTAATTTGCATGGTTTGAGCAAATGCAAAGAGGAGGCAAAGAAGAAAGGAGGGCTTGACTTGAGTGTTAAACTCTTCATCAAGTAGAAGCACACGGCTAGCTAGCTCATGATGATCTCAGGTAGGGTGGTTTAAGTTAAAGCTGCTCTTTAGTTAACGCTTTTTTTCCGCCATTTGGTTTTGAACTCAAAGGTGTGCCAGTGTTGTGTCCATAGTGTCGCCTTTTTCAACTTTTTTACAGTATTGTTTACAGGGGGTTAATATATATAACCAAACGTGGTGCATTGGGGGTATATATGATCAGGGATATAGTATTTGACTTGGAGAGATTGGAGATTGATCAAATTACCTCTCATTAGTTCTGCAAAAACTTGCATGAAATTAATGTATGGTTTGTGTGCCCTTTAATGTTTATGGTCCTCTTCTTACAAGATTTATCAATTACTTATGCACCTGAACTTTTGTGGGTTCAAAGCATACACACATTCCTTGCTAGCCTTTTGGTATTGAATAGGACTGTACGTACGTATATAGCAGTGCATAGCTTTTGAATGCATCTGGACTGACATGCATTACTACCTGAAATTGAAGGCAACTAGCTAGTACACGTTAAATATGCAACTTAATTACCGTATGCATCATGTGGTGGTGCTAACCATTATAGTTCAAACATAGGAGTATATATATGTATATACAGAGTTACATACATTAATTGGCATGACTACTTCCATCAGCTAGTGAGCATATAATCGTATATTCAATATCTATATATGCATATCTAAATCTTCTCATATTCTTAATGGAAAATGTAAGGAGAGTAGCAGTTCAAAAATCTGTCATATGCTCATAAGCCATATATATGGTGAATAAATGCACGCCTAGTTGGCTACTGAACCATTTTGTACAAAATCGATCTCCTGGTAACGCTTCACTTCGGATTAAAAACAGCTATGGTGATATGAATTTCAAAATGCAAGAAGATTTCTGATCGAATCAGTAACCATTACACTCAATTAAGACACCCCTCCATTGAATTTTGTAAGGAGTATCTCAATTTCAAAAGGTCAAACACTATAGATTTTAAAGTTGAACTACAATCGATCAAAATATATAAGTGCATTCAGTGTATAAATTATACAATGGATTTATATTTCAAAGTGCTTTTACAAAATGTTAGTTTTACAGCCACTAAGAATATATAAGTTTTATAATGTAAGAGCAACCAGTGGTCAAACTTTAATCTTGCTGACTTTTTCATAATTTAATACTCTCTCCATTTGACGTATAGGACAAGATTAAGTCAAACTTTAAAAACTTTCTTCAATTTTATAGTAGAATAAGTCTAATAAGTTTAAGATATTGTGATAGTATTTTCCAAGATAAATATAAATGTACCATTTAAAAAACACTAAGAATTCGAGAAATTGTTGATCAATTGATGATCAAAGTTTTAAAAGTTAGATCAAACCTTATCCTAAATATCAATGCACGAACAAGAGGAGTACACCCTATACAAATCAACAGAGGTAGTTTTTCCTTTAGAAAAAGAATCAATAGATATATAGGTGGTCCTGCAGGATTCATAGGATTTTTCAAAGTTTCCTTCTAGACTACTATCTCGTTCTCATAGATATCATCCTAGAATACACACAGTTAAACCTCGAAACCTTAAATGATTAATTAATAAAAATATATTAGGATTTGGCATCAAAAAACTAATATCAGGAGCTATTCGTTATAAAAACACTTTCATACATTTATATTTTAACAAATTTAAAGGTTGTGATGAAACATGTGCATTCAAGACCATACGTGTCAATGTTTCAAACGAGAAGTAGAAAATAATGGATGCAATATCTTCTATTTGATCCATTATTTAGCACACAAAATGTTTATTTATGGGAGTATATATATATATGTGCGCGCGCGCGCGCAACAAAATTAATTAAAACTATCTAGCTAGAGCCATATATATAGTAGAGTAAGTAATTAAGAGTTTTTCACATTGAAATGGTGCATATATAGTACGTAAACTGTAGTATAGAAGAGAGTGCAGGAGTACTTTACTAGCAAATACTCCTATATAGTAGTATTTCGCCTTGGGCAAAAAATATACACACATATATAGAACTCAGTACTGGTCTCGATCGTGCATGTGTGCATGCAAGCTTTTCCTCAGTTTTTTGCAGTGCCAGTGTACAACATGATGTAACCTCGGCCGGTCACAAAGTGCCAGTACCACCATGATTAGATTATGATTGGAAATGATGGGTTTTCCTTATTGGACCGATATATGATCACGAAAACACACACACACACAGATATATATATATATATATATATATATATATATATATATATATATATATATATATATATATATATATATATATATATATATATATGCAACCATATACATGTATACAATATATTCACTTTTCATTTTTCACACAACTAGGCACAGCTGCATCCCATGCATATGCATGATTTGCCATCGGGTGCTCACTAGTTAATTAATGCTTCCATTCGTACTCTTCTGAACAGAAAAAAAAAACAACTACTAAATGTCATGCCCGTTTTGATGAAATCGAAAATGGTGACCGACCACATTCATCTTAATTGCGATGTGCAAACGCCAGCGTCCGTGGATAGGGATGCATATGCTCGATCGGTACATCGTCTCTCTAGGAAGGGCTAGCTGATGCCTTGTCTGCTCTTTGGAGCACACTCTACTGCTCGGTGAAAGCTCAGTGTGTGTGGCCATAGCTAGCCATAGCTACCATATGCACACCCCGTGTAGCTTTGTGGGGCATTTTGGCCGGCTTTGCCATCTATCCTTGGATCTTTTTCAGTAGAGCTGGCTGGCTGGCTGTAGCTAGACAGAGCTAGGGCGCTGTGCATTTCGCTTTGCTGAAAAGAAATGGCTTTTGACCAACCTGGTGCACATTCATGTCCACCACCGGTGATCGATCGATCGATCGGCCTGTGGTGTGCAAACGACGACGACGACTGATATTTCCGACCATCTTTCGCCGGCCGGCGAGGTGTACGTTGACCTAGCTAGCTGGATTGTTAGAGGGAAATAAATTAAGCTTTAATTTCTCTCTGCAGCTTCAATTGATCACCTCCACGATCGATCGATATATATCAAATCTTCTTGCAGCACTGTTGTACAATTAATGTCGGGAAGGCAGGTATTCTGCCTGGCCCTAAACTCTGTTGTCAGGGCCGTTAATTATACCTTTCAGATTCTTTATGACTTTGAGTCCAAGGTTGTACTGTTGCAAGAATGAGATACAGATACTAGGAGGTAGGAGTAGATTGTACAACTATGCTAGCTCTTTCACAAGAAGGGGTATGGCAACTAGTACAGTCGTACACATGAATTAACGGGCATTCATTTTCATTCATTGTCCTCTTGATCGGTCACTTTAATTTGATCGTCTACCTGCTGGCCATCGTCGAGAACACGCTTGCCGCGAAAAGCCAGACCATGCAAACAGGCGTGCAGGCTTATAGCTATCCAATGCATGGACCATATATATGTGATGGACCGATCAGTGTATATATATGTTGGGGTACATACACTAACAAGTTGAAAACTTGAAATCAAGATATATAGACAATGACGGACGACGATGAAATGGTTTGGGAGCAGTAACCACGATTACATGCCTCCGTTGATTTTTACTGTCTTTTAATCTGAAATTTTAAGTTTAATTAATATTTTTTACTAATGACGAGTCAAATTACATGTCTATTTAATTAGTGCATTAAATTAAGATATATAAATAGATTCATATTCTGTTTAAAGTGCTTTCGTGCAACATTTCGTTTTGCAACTATACAGTATAATTAATTAGGAACACACGCAGCCTATAAGAAATCAATGGTTGAAATTTAATCTTCATGACTTTTCAAATTAAAATATACCCTATACAAATCAAGTCCATGAGTTTGAAAAATATTACTTCACGAAGAATTATTTTGTTGTGGATTATATACTTAGTAGGGATAAATTAAATATTTTAAGACATATAAACTTATCAAATGCTTAGAGCAAATGATATAAGCAATGTGGTAGAAATAAACTATGAGAAAATATTTTTAGAGCCGGAGCAACTAATTCGTGGTAACAATATATGATGCCGTTAAAAAAGAACGGGGTATACAAAATCTCATGAGATGAAGGTCAACAGCTATATTTATACCCCTATGAAGGTCATGTTTGGGGCCGGGGAGTTTCTAACTACTGCAGCTTTTGTCTCAAAATCTTGAGTTCCCCAAACAACCCATATTCGTACACAGATTCTAAAAACATATAGTTATAGAAGCTAGAAAATGAACTATAAGTCAAAAGCTGAGAAACACAGTCTTTCCAGATTCTCAGAAGCTAACTTCCAACCAACTGCTTCTCATGATTTTAAACTTTTCCAAACAAGTCTGAAGTTAAGTATGATAACGCTATAGACGATCAGGTCTGATTTTTTATCTATATATGATTATTTTGGTTAATTAGCTTCCCTATGGCATTATCAAATTTTGTTAGGATAGATATATGTGTCATTGTTGTTGTTTTGGCCTTAATTATATTAGTGCTAAAATTGTGCCAATACGAGATGAAGTGCTTGGTTTTTATCTTATCATAATCTTGGTATTATTAGATTTTGATAGGGTTAATAATTCAAACAACCCCATATATTGCCTGGTAGCAGGGAGGGGCACAGTGTCGTCACATTCATAATGAACCTTAATTGCCTGTACAGAGATCTGCACTGTTTGATTATTATGATCCTACCTTTTTCGTCTCGCTTTTGATCTTTAATTTATACATCTGGTTGCCCACCACGTAGTTTTGTTCCTTGGACTGCAGGTTGGTACTTGGTACTTGGAGCTCTGCATGCGCTTCTGCGTGTCATCTGCGTGTACTAGTGTGTACATATGCATATGATTCTAGCCCAAGCTAGGTACACAAAGCTAAATGCATGCATATGAAGATACACGTACGGTGTCAGACGGGCAATTATATATGCAGCTTATGGCATGGCAGTATCAAATTAAAGTTAAGGTGAGCTACTCTCTTGTGCCAGGAGAGAGAATCGGTGCTTTACAACTGATGACCCATTTATGGCTATTCTACTGTTGGAGTACTATGACCCAGTTATGTATGATTTAATTATAGCACTAGCCAATATTGTAATTAATTAAGCTGCTTTTATCAAAATACAAAAAATTAAAAGGATGGGACGAAAACACCTAATGTTAGAGCCACATGCATGGATGTTGACTGTAGTGCAGTCCAAACTCCAGAATAGATCATATCCATATTTGAGGAAATTAAACGGAACCCTACGGCATAGAAGGAAATTGCACACCCGCATCAGACAACAGTGCTCCTTCCGGACGATCACGGA